GTGGCATTATATAGAATAAATATTTTTTGACTAGTGGAAGACAAGTTTTAAGTTGTTTTAATGAAAGTATAAAGACTTTATTAGCAAGAAAATATAAAACTTCTTGTAAACATTTTTTTTATATATAGTTGGAGAATCAGTAGAAAGAGTTTTATTTATTTTTACTATATAAATTAATTATTATTTAAATAGCTTATAAAAATATATATATTTATAGTTACTTTCAAAAGTTCACTTATTATCATTTTATTATAAATTATAAATTTATTAATTTTAAATTCTTAATTATATAAACAAAAATTATAAAAATTATATATATTATATTTTAATATTATTATATTTTTTTCAAGAAATTTTTATATATAAATTTTTAAAGTTTTATTATTTTAAAAAAAAATTTTTTATAAAATTTATACTTTTAGATATTTTTAATTGGTTATTATCATAAATTATATAATAATTAATAAAAAAATAAAATATTTAACTATAATAAAACTTTAAAAATTATTTATAAAAAAATATTTAAAAAATATAAGAAATAGAATAAGTATTAAGACATAATATACAATATATAAATTTTATAATTTTTTATTGTATAATTAAAGATTTAAAATTGTTAAAGTTGAAATTAATAATAAAAATATAGTAAATAGACTTAAATATTTGAAAGCAATTTTAAGTACTTTTAAATAAATAAAAATTTACTTATAAATTATTAAAATTAATTAAAAATAGGTGTTATATATTAAACTTTTTTACTTTATTAATAAAATTTAATTTTAAATTAAATAAACTTGTTTTTTATAATAAATTATATTTACTTGCTATATTTTTATTATAAATTTTACATTATTATATTTTAATATTTATTATATTTTTTATATTTTTTAAAAAAAATTTATAAATAATTTCATTTTATTATCATTAAAATTTTTTATTTTTTATTTTTTTATTAATTATTATATTATTTATGATAAAAACTAATCAAAATTATTCAAAGATAAAAATTTGATAAGAAAAAAAATTTTTTGATAATGATAAAACTTTAAAAATTATATTAAAAATTTTTTTAAAAAATATAAGAAATAAAACTAGCATTAAGATATAATATATAGTATACGAATTTTATAATTTTTTATTATATAATTAAGAATTTAAAAAATAATAAAATTAAAATTTATAATAAAAATATAGTAAATAGACTTAAACTTTTAGCAACAATTTATAAAATTTTATCTAATATTTAAATTTTTATTTAATAAAATGTAAAAAATTTTAACTTTAACAAAAATTATAAAATTTAAAATTAAATATTTATTCAAATTTAAAAACTTTTTAGTATATATTTATTTTAAAAAATAATTTTTATCTAGTATATAAAAGTAAAATTTAATAAAAATAAAAAAATTATTGTATATAAATACTATTAATAATTGATTAAAATTAATTATTAATTATAGTTACTGTAATATAAATTTTTTTTATTTATTAAATTTTTATTTATTTAAAAGGTTATTTTATTAAAAAATATAATTTACCCTATAAAATTGTTTATATTTAATGATCTTTACTTAAAAAATTGATATTTAACTTTTTTAAATTTATTATAAATTAAATTATTTTTATGTTTTTTTCTTTTTTAAAAAGTTAAGTATTTTAAAACATATTATTATTTTATTTAAAAATATACTTTATATAAATATATAAATCTAACAATATTTTATAGGTTTTTTTTAATATATATATATTTGTTTATATATTTTAATATCTTGTCATTTTTGTAGTTAACTTTTTTTAAAATTTATTTTAAAGACGTGCAATCAAAACAATCCATTTTATAACATGGTCATGATTAGTAAAAAATATAAAAAGTTTTATTTTTTTAATATCTTATAATTTTTGCTATCAACATATAAATACAAATATACAGTAAATATACTTTGCATGCCTAATCTTTTTAATTAAAATAATAATTGGTTATGCAGTAAATAAAATAAAATAAAATAATAATAATAATAATAATAATAATAATAATAATAATAATAATAATAATAATAAAAATAAAAATAGAATACTATTTTCTGCGTTATATTTAATAACATCATGTTTTATAAATTAACATGTAGAAATTGTGCAAGATGTTTTTAATATTAAATAATTAATAAACAGATATTCCGATCGTGAATTGGTGAAATAAATGAATGAATAAATAAATAATAAGCGAGTAAATCATCATCTATGCCATATCATATTCCAGGAAATCAAATGATTTTAAAATTGGTTAATAAAAATTTAAAATTATTTTAAAAGACTTTTATTCATTGGTTCGTTATGTCGAATAAAATTATTTCAAATTTGATTTTAATATAACCACGCGAAATTATGTCTAATTGTAAGTTTATCGAACAGCGAAGTAACACAATTTTTGCGACGATTTATTCAACTTTAATGATACCAAGAAAATCATATTACTGTACATTTGAAAATATGTTTTATTCTAGTTATTTCGATTTGAAAATTTTGGACATCTGTCAAATACTTTTTTTACAGTATTGTATGTAAGAAATAAAATCCGTTATATTGTTGATTTACGATTTTAATTGTAGTAAATACACATTCCGAACGGTTTGTGTAATGTCGGCTTGAGTTTTCTTTGGAATTTTGTTCCGACCAAGCCTAATTCTGGCCGAAATTAGATGATATTGTATATGGAAATGGGCAATTGTTCTTGAAGGCGATCAAAATACGGAATATGATTTTTTCGGCCCCCAGTTTTGAATAATACGTATATTTAGGATCACAATTATAGGGTCCAAAAAAATCCCCGTCCGCCTTCGAAAATAATTATCCAAATGCGAAAGGTTGCATTATTCATATACGATCCTAACTACGTATTGTATACAGAAAATTAATATAAAATTAAAACGAGGCTCGGCCGGAATTATAAAAATTTGATCGAATGAACTATTGATGCATAGTCCCGGCGCACCAATTGCTTCTTGTAAATTGATTCGAAACGTTATGGTCGGTAGATTTAATTGGCAAGATGCAGATGAAGAAGGTGGTCGCGAAAATGAATGATTATTTGTTTGAAAAACGATGATATGCATACAGCGTGTATATTTATTTATGGTTCTAAATTTAAAATCTCTTTTATACGGTAAAATTTTTCAATGACATTTCTTGAGTCAATTCAATAATACTGTATATTCTTCTTCTTCTTTTAAAGTTTACGCTAAATAGAATGCCCATTATTGTATTATTACACGGATTTCTTAATTTTATTTCGATATCATCACACGCTTTGGTTATTAATGTTTAATTGACTTGGTCTTTGTTTCTATTCTATTCTATTCTTTTCTTAATTTATGAACTCAATTATGATTCCAATGAAAACATCGAATTACTCAACAACTTCTTTTTAGAAGACGCCGGTACTCTACATAAATGCATTTTTGAACATTTTCAGAGCTTAAATATATGTTGTTTGATTAATCGACTTACAAAAAGGTAAGATCATTTAAGACCACTGTTTAACGGAATTGTCATATTTGTTAGAATCAATGAACCGTTATTCAGTATTACAGGAATGCCTCGACTCTGATTCCATTGCTTAAAAGGCTGGTGTAACGTGATGAAGCATATTCTGTTTCCAATCACACCGGTGACAAGGAAAATTCGAAAAGTCGTATAGGGCATTGGTCAACTTCGAAACGAAAATAATTTACCCGGAAAAGGTTAAGGAATTATTGGTTAAAGTGCATTATGTCGTAATAATGAATGAACGGAAGGGGGATCACCCTCAAGCCTTCCAAATTTAATTTTATGATATAAAAAAAAAAATAATGTCAGAAAATTTACGCCGTACTTGACTTTTTTGCTGAATGGGAGAAACGCGAGAAACTTTGAGAAAGGATGTATAAATTACTGTTATTTCTTACATCAAGAAACCGAAAGGTTACAGTATGAAGACCATCAATCGGTTACATCGCATTGTAACCCGAGTTCTGAAACCGTTTAAAAAAATATGCACACGATCACGTTTCTATCGGCGCCTTCTACGTATGTACGTGTATCACACGGCCTGTGGGTGTTCGCGGCGGCGCAAAGTAATCGGTTGTGTACAGAAGAGTGCACAAGTAAAAACCTACGGGTACAACGGTGCGTCGTGATAAATCTTAATGCAATCCTTACCATACACCAAGATTTTCACACAGAAAACTAAGGTTAGCTATAGTCAAAGTATTGGTCATGGTCTGACCAATTATCGCTAAATGCTTCATTACTGTTTCAGGATGTATGCTTAGCGTAAGGATTTAAATAATTAATAAGTGAGGCTGGGTCATGTGTAGTATGCGTGTGTGCATGAAAGTTTAGAGGCGTTTCGTGCGTTCTATTAGCATGCTTGCCTGGTCACGAGAGTGCTGTACCGTTCGTACGTGCATGCGTGGAACTCCAAATTCGGGGTACCGCAATTTGTGCACTGTCGATTGTCATTTACAATCTTAATATAATCCCAGAATCAAATTTTGTAAAAAAAATTACTTAGCAGCAGCAAACTAACAGAGAAACCAGTAGAGTGAGCGTCACTATTACCATAAATGGAGATTGATCGCATAATTTCATTTCACTGTAGATGCGATCGCGATATCGGATGAATAGATTTATCGAAAATGAAATCAACATTGAAAAACCTGTTCAAGACAAGACGAATTATAATTTAATCCAAGGCAAGGTTTAACACACGCGACTGTCACTTGGTTGAAGGGAAAATAGGGAAGCGGTCGAGAATTAAACCAAAAACCACCCATAATTAAAGGGTTCGTCACGCGCAAAATGTTTTTGCCCCCCAAAAAGAACCTCGAAGAATGTTTGTTTTATTAAAGAGGACCACGTCCTCTTTTGATTGTTTTACAGGAGAAAAGAGAAAATTCGGAATATGCGAAGTTATTTTATGCAATGTAACGCGCGCATTTCGTTGGATAAGATTTTAAACACGGTCACACGGACAACAGTTGGTTTCGTGCAGTAAACTCTACTTCCAGTTCGGCGGTGACACGCCTAGGGGGTGCTCGAACAACCACTGAAAAAATTCTTTATCCTAGGCACAATGCAAAATCATCACCATTAGCAAGCCTTCTGGAAAAGAGTTGACAGGGTTCTTTTCTATTTTCATCACTTACCACGTCCAAATTTTAGATATCGTTGACTCAACCCTGTCTATGATACCCATCATAGCCCTCTCAAATTCCTCCCATTTAATTTTCAATTTCTTTAAGAGGTGGAATAGATCTTTGATAAATTTCTCTTTGGAATCCTCGTAGTTATCACTACTGGGAGATTTCTTGGAATTCTTCTCGTAATAATTAGAAGATTTGTCATCGGAATTCATCCTGTCGACATTAGGAAATTCCGCTTTTGATTTCTTCTCGTAATCGTTAGAAGATTTATCATCGAAATTCCTCCCGTCAACATTAGGAAATTCCGCTTTTGATTTCTTCTCGTTGGCATCAGCAAACCTTCCTTTGGAATCTTTCCTATCCACATCGGAAGATTTCCTTTCGGAATTCCTTCTTTGGTCAATATCACAATTCTCGGGGCCATTTGACTTTTCATTTTTAACAACTTCGAGAGCTTTTGTCAGGAATGCAATGTGGTAATCTATCTCGGTCATTGTGTTGGAAGAGGACGGGTTGGCAACGGGGAAAAGAAGAAGATTGGTTCAATTCTTGTCGAATTTATATCCTCATCCGCGAATCCTCTAGATCATTGATCCATGCAACGCCGAATGATATCATCACACCATTAGTTGCCACAATTGCTTGAAGATTTACTGTGATTTTCTTTTCTGTGTCATTGACAAGCTGATTCCGATGCATTTTTTCCTGCCGTATCAGAGGAGTTGTAACAACGTTCTATCATTTTATTTGTTTTGTTAGATCACGCTCAACTTTATAGATAGGTCGCGTGAGGTCACGTGAGGTGACGCGATCTACGCGTCACGAACGCAAGTGGCGGCCAGCGACACGAAACTCGAAACTCAAGACACTTTGGGTCACAACCTGGCCAACAATAGTCTGAGAAGTGATGCGAAAACTTTGTTTGAGAAAGACGAGTCCTAGAAGCAGGAAAGGTTGTTAATGATAATTTAGCAAAGTGTAGTGTGACACTCTAAAGAGTGAATTCGTCAAATAATTACACTTCTTCGTGCCTTACCTTTTGTGCTTGTATATTTTCCATTTGTGTATGTTATTTTGAGTGCTTGTGTGGTCGCTTTTTTCCTTTTCGTAGAACGATTACGCGAACCGCTAGATTATCGACTCGCCGTTCCGTCCAAGACAAGAGACTCACCCTCCAATGTGATTTAAACCAGTTTACCCATATTAAAATGGTGATAACATTTACAGCACGCGACGAATTGCAAAAGTAATAAATAATTTTTAAGAATGTACAAGTAAAATTAGATCTCAAATTAACTTCAAAAGTCTTTATTGAAAGTGAAAAGGACGACGACGCAATTCATTCTGTCAGACGAAAGACAGGTTGTCACCAAAGGGATCAAGTATGCAATCCTGTTATGAGCAACAGATCGCGCGAGCTCATCGCCTTCTTCTTTGTTTATTATCAAGAACACAAAAAACAAGTGTGCTGCTAGATTTTTTTTTTTCAACATCCGAGTGTTGCTGTTTTCGTCGTCTTTTTTTACATGTTGCAGTTGCAATTACAAGAAAAAGATCGCGTATTACGTGTGTAACCACGAGACACACATCAAAATTCTTTCTTTTCGGTGGGCATGGTAGATTCTTATCGAATTTGCGGTCGTGTGGCCCGTAATTTGAATAATAATTCCAAAGGTCGTGCGGTTCTTTCTCCGGGATTGGTACAAATCTCGAGATACCCATTTCCCGATTAAACATTCACCAAGCCTTGACTTTGTATAAATTTGGAATCAGGTTCCGGGACTCAAAGCTTTCCTGTTTAAACATCGGGGGACACCGGAGAACCAATAGGCACTAAGCCATCCCGAAAGTATCTAAAATTCGCGAGTGTTAGCTGCGCAAAAACACCGTGAATGGCTTGGTCGACTTTGGTTTATCCTATTGTGATTGGTTTCACGACTGGCTGAGGATTCCCCTCACGAATGGCTTATCATGGCGTTAATTGCTTGTTGTTTGTTATTTGTTTATTTACTCTGTTTAAATTCATCAGTTTGAATTCTGTTGGCTTGGTCTTATTATTTGGATAAAGTATGGCTTAGGCATAATAACTGTGGCGGATTGAGGCAATGCAAAAGTTCGAAGGAGCGCGCGTAACTTTACACACGAGCAATGTGCCTGCCTAATCAGTAACCGTAATGTGACACGGGTAAATGAGACGGAGCAAAAACTTTCATGGTCGAATTAGTCCTTCATAATAGACATAGCCTCTCTAGTGATTTGTTGTTCTGGAAGCCACCGCAAGTACTTCAGTTTGAAGGTGACGTGAATTGTTTTGTAGATCAAAGTAAACATCCCGAAGGAGTTGGAAAACTCAAAGACTGTGGCGACAGATGCAAACAATGCAAGCGTCGTCGAATGCTATCATCACGCCAGCCATATTTGTCGCAAATGTCAACAAACACGGGAAAGTGCTTCCCCAAAGCATTCATCATTCTTACTCACCGTCATTCAGCATGCCTTTTCCGTCTGCCTTCGAAAGGTGTAATCAAGGAAAACAATAACGCGATTCAAAATATTTGAGCGAGGCAAGCCAACCGAGGCTATGCGATCCTCGTAATGCCAAATATCCTGTCCGAATTGGGTTCGTCTCACAAACAATCGGTGTGTCAATATCGTTCAATGAAACCAGCCTATTACGAGTGATAACTTTGTCTACCCCAAAAAGCCCAAGAAAAAAAAAAAAAAAAAACAATAATAATAAAAGAGGGTTGCGTTCTGGTATGAGTTCGTCCCAGAGGGAAACTTCTCGGACTCTGTCGGG